AAATGCTTTTCCCTTCCTTTATCACTACCTATCCAAACCTAGCACAATTCCATCCCCTAAAACACCAGTGTACTTAGGATCAATACTATGCAATTTAACACTTAATTGTTCTTTAATCCTTTCATGATGCCTACATTAGTCACTCCTATGAATTAAGACATTAAATGCCACTGTTAAAATGAAAATATCATCTGGGTCATAGTAGGTGCTTAATAAATATATAGGCACTCTAGAAAAAGGTTAGGAAAAGTATACAAACATACCTCAGCAACTAGGTGATTATCAGTCATTACTGAAACACACTTGGCATTACATTTGGTGGTTTGTAGACCATGGTTCCAGTGTCAGACAACCTGGATTCGAATCCCATCTCCACTGTTCGCTAGCTGCATGATCTTAAACAAGTCACTTAAACTCTCTGGGCCTTGATTTCTTCATCTGTACAATGGGTATAATAAGAACAATCAACCTCATAGGGTTGGTGGGAGGATTTAACGAATTTGTTTAAAGCATTTAGCAGAATGACTATAAGTGTTGGTTTACATTTTAGTGTTGGCTACTAATGTTACTATAAATTGCTTTTTCAGATTAAGTGAACAGGGCCTCCTTGAAATTGAATACAGAACATACATACTAAAAAAGATCAAAGCATGGGGTCAGCATGGAAAGGGCAATCCTAGAGAGGAGCTGTAGGGAGGGGCCCTGGGGACCTAAGAGAAGCCATACTATGAAAGAGGACTCCTAAATTCAGAGCACTCAACACAAACTTCTGCAGCCACCCAAGTTTATCTTAGGCTATTCTTGCAGTGACTAGAGTACCCTAGCCTGTCCCAAGTTTTGCTCTAAGAAAGAGAAGAGCTAACATTGCATTTTTGAAAGACTCCCATTTGGTTTATTAAGTAATTAACTTCCTGATGCACAAATGACAAAGCACTAAGTGGCCCTCTGAAGCCAATTAAAGCCCAAATGGCTGGATTGCTGTAAAGAATGGGTACTCAGGGAAAAGCCTTCCCTTTCTGAGGCTACCTCCCACCAATCTACTAATTAGACTGGGGAAAGGAAGAGCGGATGGCAAGGAAGCCAGGAAATGCCAACCTATAAGAGGGGTGGGAGGTCTGGGAGCCAAAAGGAAATTAGGCAAAGCTGAGGCTGTCCCTCCTTGAGCATTAAGCAGAAACCAGGCAAGCACAAAGCACCATATCTGACCCTCTGCTGGCCTGGGACCACTGACCCTCTACAAAGGCCCAGAGCCAATTTATAATGCTCTATAATGTGATAATCCATAGCTACTTTGGAACTACAGGCTGGCCTCCCTTTGGGTCTCTGAATATTCCCAAGAGGCCCAGGTCATTGGTACTCAGCAGAGCATCATTCTAATGTTAAGATGAATCAAGCATAGCACAAAAGATAAAGCCCCCAAAACGAGCAGGTGGGGCTTACAATTGATCAGATAATGTTACTCCCTTTCCATATTATTTGAAATTATATTTTAGATACATGGTGTTCTTCCCCACTAAGATAAAATTCCTTGCGTTGTAGAGCCATGCCTTATTCATTTCTCTATTTCCCACTAGTACCTAGAACAGTGCCCATGCAAAGTAAGTGCCCAATACATGTTTATTGAATTGAAATATGTTTGAATCTTGGGGTGCCTGGGTGGCTCAGTTGTTAAGTGTCTGCCTTCGGTTCAGATCATAGTCCCGGAGTCCTGGGATTGAGCCCCGCATCAGGCTCCCTGCTCTGCAGGAAGCCTGCTTCTCCCCCTCCCACTCCCCCTGCTTGTGTTCCCTCTCTCGCTGTGTCTCTCTGTCAAATAAATAAATAAAATCTTTAAAAAAAAAAAAAAGAAAGAAATATGTTTGAATCTCAAAAATAACTAAGGATGGAAGAGCGACAGAACTAGGAAAATACTTTCTGGTCATCAGCAGCAACCTTCCTTCTCTTTGTGGATTTTCTGCTCAGTTACCAAGACTAAAAAGTCTGGGCATGCCAAGATGTATGACAAATTATACAAGAAATACAATACAGTGAAATCTAGATTTCCTTATGTTTCCCCATTGTTACAATGGCCTTACTTCCTAAAAAGTGTCCTCTAAAAAAGAAAAATAGAAGACATATAAGGTTTTTTTTAAATTGAGATTCAGCTCTATGTAACTTGAGGCAATGTGGTTTAACAGAAAGAGCACAGACTTTGAAGTGTATGACCTTGAGCAAGTTACTTAACCTCTCTGAGCCTTTCATATCTGTAAAATGGCAGAAAACAGACCCTATCTCATATGTTTTTGAGGTCTAATCAAGCTAATACTTCTAATACACCTAGAAAAATGCCTGACAATAGTAAGCACTTAATAAATTTTAGAAACTATCTGTATGAGGATTAAGTAAAATTAAATGAGATGAAGCATGTAAAGCAGAGGTCACAGCTTATGTCTAAGTAAGACCCAGACATGTTTGGGTATAGCTGGTACAATCTTTAACAGCCCTAAAGAAAGATATTTCTGCAAAAACTGAGGAAGCTCCTGAAGGAGAATTGTGGTACAGGAAGGTATAAGAATCAGGGGTAAAATAGCTTAGTCTTCAGGAATCCTGGGTACAGTTGGGTATCTCTCACTTGGATTTGTTTCCTAGCCCAGTCCCACATAGCTTATGTCTGAATAGGTAGTAATGGAACAGGTAAGGTCTTTAAAGGGTATTACTAAAAGCTGTGAGGGAAAAAAAGGTACTGAGCTAAGTAACTTTGGAGCTAAGTGGAGACAGTAAGACTAATGACAAAAGGCATTGTACATAAGCACCATGCTCCATTTGAGAAAGTTGTTTCCCACAAGACTATGGTTTAACAATTTTGATACCACTATACATGTATACTAGATTGAATAATTAAGTAAATGGATGGCAGATGGTGGGAGCTTGTTATTTTGCTACTGGAATGGGAGGTCACAGATAATTAAGGGGAGAGGCTAGAATGATCCATGATGTACTAGAGTTGGAGACATCAGTTTGGACTGATGTTTAGCTTAATATAGATTCATATGGTTACATGTAGAAATATTTATAGATATATGTATATACATGTGTTAGTATAGACACACATATCTCTTTTCTCTGTCAGCAAAGAGGGTCTAGAAGCACTGACACCTCAATAGCAACAAGCACACCTAGTACCCAGATCCTGGTTTCTAATACCATTCTCCAAAAAAAAAGGAAGCAGGGCTCCGTGGAGAAATGGCTGACTCTATAAATGAGGCATAAAATTAAGGAATTGCCAGACATTAAGGAACTGCTTTGAAAAACCTCTCTCTCTCTCTCTCTCTCTCTCTCACACACACACACACACACACACACACACACACACACACACACACACACACGTACCCACATACACTGATGAGAGATTTATACCAAAGAGACAAAGGGATGCAGGAGTCAAATGAAAGAGCCTCCAATGACCAAAGTCGTAGCCGTTTTAGCAACAAATTAATAAAATACTAGAAAAGTCTATACTCATTACCCATGGTAGTTACGTTCTACAAAGTCTCCGTGAATACTGAATTAGCTAATACTGAACCATTGCTCCTAGGGAAAATACAGAGTTAGGTTCCTATAAGCCTCTTGATACAACATTCTCTTTGATCAATATATAACCTTGTTTTAATGCAGGTTTCTGTTTAAAGACAACTTATTTAATATATACTGTTGAGTCCTTAACAGTGAACTCATGGACAAGAGCACTATAATTCATGCCTGAACAAAGCTTATCTAACATATATATTTTCTCCATCATAGCCTTCTTACACTTGGGAACACTAAACAGTACTTTGGCACTAAGCTTGGGGGCCATTTTAAGCAGTGAAATCACAAATAAAAACCACAAAAGTGGGGAAAACATGACATTAAATAGATGATAAAAAGCATACTTGTTTATAATATGAGAGGTGAAACAAGAAGGCAGAGCATTGCCTTGTTCGACCTCAGCTGGGAACATGCACTTCAGGCTGCTAAAGTTTTTTGTTGCTCTGCACATGTCTGAAAATGAACATGAAAGTGCCACAAGTATTGATTTGAGAGTTACAAATAAATTTTAGCAAGTAGGCAAATTCAAAAATACAGAATCTGTGAATAATAAGCATTAACTATACTAGGTTATACCTAGAAGTTTAAAATAAATATCCATGAGCCCATACTGATGTAGTTAAATAAACAAACAAATGGGAAGAAGAGACCAATCTCTTGTGCATAAGATTCCAAATAATTTATGTAAATATCCACCCTCAAGATGCTCCCCACTCCTTAAACATTGGTTATGCATAGTGACTTCCTCCCAAAGAGTATAGAAAGGTGTTTAAAAAAATAGTAACTTTACAATGGAGAAACCTGACAAACACTACCTCAGCCAGGTAATAAAGTTCAACTGTGATAAGTCACATCAACAGTAGGTACCCTTGATATAATGTGATGAGAATGGCACTTTACCTGTGTGGTCTTCCTCCCAAAAACCTATATCCCAAGTCTAACCATGAGAGAAACATTAGACAAATCTCAGTTGAGGGACATTGTACAAAATATTTGACCAGTACGCCTCAAAACTGTCAAGGTCATCAAAAATAAGAAGTCTTAGAAACTGTCACAGCCATGAGGAATCAAGAGATACGACTATTAAATGTAGTGTGGTATCCTGGATGGAATACTTGAACAGAAAAAGGACATTAGGAAAAAGAAGAAATCTGAGTAAAGTATGGACTTTAGTTAATAATAATGCATTAATGTTGATCCATTAATTATGACAAATGTACTCTAATAATGTAAGATATTAACAATAGGGGAAACTAATTATAAGGTATTTGAGGACTCCCTGTACTATCTTCTCAACTTTTCTATAAATCTAAAAACTATCCTGAAACAAAAGTTTAGTCAAAAAAAGTTGTAAGGTTATCAGCAGTCTTACTTGAGGACCCCTTCCAAAAAAGTATAATACAAAGCAAGAGAGAAACATTCTCCCCTACCTTAAGACAAATTATCCAGATGCTCTGGCACCATGAATAGTCCTGTGTTCTCTTGTCAGTACCCAGAAGAAGAGCCACAGGGTCAGGAAGAGACACTTGAGTTCAGCAGAGTAGGGGCAGCACCCCCAAAAACAGCAGAGCCTTAATGGGAGATAGTAAGAACAGATGAATACCTAGTTAATGTGCTGCAGAGCACCAACAACACATGACAGACTTGTTCATGATCACAGGGGAAATACCAACTAGGAACTTCAAGAAAAATTTAAGAGACACAACAGAGGACTGGGATCCTGCAAGAAACAGGTGGAGCAACAGCCAGTGGTACTGAATTATGTACCATTATTATTAAGACTGCTGAGAACTAAGGAATCTTAGAGGTTACACATGCAGTACCTAACCCATAATAGGTCCTGCAAAAGTTCAGTTGCCTACCAATATGCCAAAGTTGTCCCATCCCAGCTCACAAGAACTAATTGTTAAATCTTCAGAAATTTTGTGAACTAGTTGTTAAACACAGCCATTATTAAAATTTATATATATCTACAATTAAATTATATTAAAACCAAAGGAAATACTCAAAACATATCATTTCCTCATTCTTGTACTATATTTTATTATTCTCTCTGCCCTTCAGGTTATTTACATCTATAGTCTCTGTAAGATGGAAATACCCCATAACAGTGTGCTGCTAAACATCTCTTCCAACTCCTCATTCAGTGACATCACAATTGTAGCTTGACATCAGGCAGTGGGAAGTATTTACAATGTGGGAATTTGAAACTGCTAAAAAAAAAATAATCAAGGTTTGATTTATCACTTTGTTGATTATCTAAACTAAAAAAAAAGTGATGGGGAAAGTCTTAACATATTATATTTAAATCTGTTGCTTTGGAGGTGTGCCTGGGTAGCTCAGCCAGTTAAGCGTCCAACACTTGGTTTCAGCTCAGGTCGTGAGATCAAGCCCCACATCACGCTCCATGCTCAGCATGAAGTCTGCTTGAGATTCCCTCTCCCTCTGCCCCTCCCCCCATTCACAAACACTCGCTCTCTCTAAAATAAATAAATACAATCTTTAAAAAAAAACTGTTGCGTTGGAATATTGGGGAACTTGGAAAGATGGAGAAATATGAGGACCCTGAGCTTACCTCATCCCATGTTTACAATTAGATATCATCCACAGCCAAGTCAAAAGACCAGAGAGCAATCTGAAGACTGGCAGAACAAATTCCACAACTAAGTATAGAAAAGAAATTGCATCTGAAAGGTTAGGAAGGTCAGAAAGGCAGAGGGAGGTTGCCCTCAGGAGGGAGGGAGCTGTGCATGTGGGGAGGGCAAATAAACAGGCTCTTGCACCAGGGAACACATGGGAAGACTTATCCCCATAAAGTTTGGCTTTAAAAACCAGAGGGGTTAAATTCCATGAGTTTGTAAAACGAGTGGGACTTAGAGCCTGGACCTTTAAAAGTCAGCTGATTCAGCACCAGGTGAGCTAAGAAGGCAAGTGATAGGTGGGTCGCCAGAGACAGCAGACTGTGTAGAGAGGCAACATAAAAATGGCAGTTTATGGGGCACCTGGGTGGCTCGGTTGGTTAAGCGTCTGCCTTCAGCTCAGGTCATGATCTCAGGGTCCTGGGATTGAGCCCCACATTGGGCTCTCTGCTCAGTGGGGAGTCTGCTTCTCCCTCTCATTCTCCCTCTGTGCTTTCTCTCTCTGTCAAATAAATAAAGTCTTTTTAAAAATGGCAGTTTATACAACAAGGGGGGCAAATGGGAGACAGATCTGGTCAAACTGATTTCAGAGCATGTTGGGAAACTTCTTTAAAAACAAGGGAGCTGGCAGGCACCATTTTCCTCCACTATCCCCCAGCATAAACACAGAGCCACCTGCAGGAGGCAGGACCACACAGATACTTGTAGCCTTGGCCCAGGGTTCAGGGCAAATTTTGTTAAAATTGCACATGTGCCACCCAGCCACCAGGAGCAGACCTGCTGCCACACACCTTGCCCAGCTGCCACACCCACCCTTGTGCCCCTAGCCACTCTCATGCACTGCACCCAGCCCCTGGGTACACAGCTGCCACCATGTGCCCTGCCCAGCTACTACACAGCACCCAGCTGTGCACCCACAGCCAATGTCTCACACCAGGCCCAGCCACACCCAGGATCCTCACATGCCACACCCAACCTTGCACCCCCGGCCACCCCAGTATACATACCCCAGCTGACACAGTGCTTTGGGGGATCCAGTATAGGACTAGTGGCCCACCACAAATTTTGCTACCATCACCACCCTGCTCCCAAGTTCCCCAGTGGGCCACCTCAGAGCTGGCCTGCCTGGGTCTCACTAATACCACAGGGAGTAAGCACAGCCAACAGTGGGCAGAAGGGCAGGGCAGATGACTGTGCTGAAAGGAAAAGTGACTCGGCAGCAAGGCATAAGCAACTCTTTTGAAGTGCCAGGTTCTGATGAACAGGGGACACTGCACTGCAGGCACTCCAGGACCTCTTCTACATAAAGTCCCTACTTTATTAAAAAAAAATATTTTCTTTATTTATTTGACAGAGAGGGAGAGAGCACAAGCAGGGGTAGCAGCAGGCAGAGGGAGAAGCAGGTTCCCTGCTGAGCAAGGAGCCTGATGTGGGACTCGATTCCAGGACCCTGGGATCATGAACCGAGCCAAAAGCAGATGCTTAACTGACTAAACCACCCAGGCATCCTAAAGTCCCTACTTTTAAGAGCAGAAGACATAGCTGACTTTCTTAGCACAAAGAAACAGATTAAGAGAGGCAGACAAAATGAGGAGACAGAGAAATTTATCCCAAATAAAAGAACAGGACAAGGCCACAGCCAGAGATTTAAGCAACACAGATATAAATAACATGCCTGATAGAGAATTTAAAACAATGATCATAATAATACTCACTGGACTTGAGAGAAGAGTAGAAGACATGAATGAGACTCTAATACAGAGATAAGGAATAACATAGAAGAGAAAAAAGGCTCAATAAATGAAATGAGAAACCCACTTGATGGAATGAATAACAGGAAGGAAGAAGCAAAGGAATAAATTAGTGACCTACAAGACAGAGTGATGGAAAGTAATCCAAATGAACAAAAGAGAAAGAAGAATTACACAAAATGAGAATATATTTAGGGAAATCAGTGACTCCATCAAATGTAATAACATTTGTATTATAGGAGTCCCAGAAAAAGAAGAGAGAGAAAAGGGGGCAGAAAATTTATCTGAAGACATAATAGCTGAAAACTTCCCTAAATCCAGATCTAGAAGGCACAGAGAGCTCCTATCAAAATCAACAAAAGCAATCTGACCCACACCAAGACACTGTAATTAAATTTGCAAAATGCAGTGAAAAAAATCTTAAAAGCAGCAAGACAAAATAAGTCCATAAATTACAAGGGAAAACCCATAAGGCTGGCAGGAGATTTTTCAACAGAAACTTTGCAACCCATAAGGGAGCAGCATGATACATTCAAAGTGCTGAATGGGAAAAATCTGCAGCCAAGAGCACTCTATCCAGTAAGGCTACCATTCAGAACACAATGATAGATAAACAGTTCCCCACACAAACAAAAACTAAAGGAGTTTGTGACCACTAACCCAGCCCTGCAAGAAATATTAAAGGGGACTCTGACTAGAAAGGAGAGACCAAAAGTGACACTATACAGGTAGGAAACAAAAAAGCAGGAAAAATCAATATTTCTGTAAAAAAATCAGTCAAGGAACTCACAACATAAAAGGATGTAAAATATGACAATGTATACCTAAAACTCGGGGAGGAGAGGAGTGAAAAAAGGACCATCAATTTAATATAGCAAAAATAAAAATTTCTCTTAAAAAAAATCAGTCAAGGAATTCCCCCCCAAAAAGATACAAAATATAAAAACATTTACCTGACACATGCAGAGGAGAGAAGAATGGATTCAAACTTAAATGACCATTAACTTAATATAGACTGCTATATGCAGAAGAGGTTTATACAAACCTAATGGTAACCATATATCAAAAACCACTAATAAACACAGAGAGAATAAAGAGAAAGAAATCCAAATATATCACTAAAGAAAATCAGCAAAACATGAAAGATAGAAAGATAAGAAAGGATCAAAGAAAATCTTCAGAACCAATGATAAAATAAGTAATAAAATGGGAATAAATTCATATCTATCAATAATTACTTTGAATGTAAATGGACTAAATGTTCCAATCAAAAGACATAGGGTGACAGAATGGATAAAAAGAAAAACCAATTGGGGCACCTGGGTGGCTCAGTTGGGTACAGAGCTTACTTAAAAAAAAAAAAAAATCTCCTAAGAAACAAGACCCATCTACATGCTGCCTACAAGAGACTCATTTTATTTTAAGATTTTATTCATTTATTTGAGAGAGAGAATGAGAGAGAAAACAAGCACAAGGGAGGAACAGAGGGAGAGGGACAAGCAGACTCCATGCTAAACACAGATCCCGACAAAGGGCTTGATCCCGTGACCCATGAGATAATGACCTGAGCTGAAACCAAGAGCCAGATGCTTAACCGACTGAGCCACCTAGGTGCCCCACAAGAGACTCATTTTAGACCTAAAGACATCTGCAGATTGAAAGTGAGGGTATGGAGAAATACCTATCGTGCAAATGGATGTCAAAAGAAAGTCAGAGTAACAATACTTATATCAGACAAAATAGACTTTAAGACAAAGACTGTAACAAGAAACAAAGAAGGACATTATATAATAATAAATGGGACAATCCAACAAGAAGATGTAACAACTGTAAATATTTATATACCCAACATAAGAGCACCCAAATACATGAAAGAGTTAATAATAAACATAAAGGAATTAATTGATAATAGTACAATAATAGTAGGGACCTTAACACCCCACTTACATCAATGGGCAGATCATCTAAGCAGAAAATCAACAAAGAAACAATGGCTTTGAATGACACACTGGAACAGATGGATTTAACAGATATATTCAGAGCATTCCATCCTAAAACAATAGAATACACATTCTTTTCAAGTGCACATGGAACATTCTCCATAATAGATCAAATATTAGCCAACAAAACCAGCCTAAACAAATTCAATATCAAAGGCATACCATGCATCTTTTCTGACCA